GGTATTTTTCACTAAATTTGGGTATTTGTGTAAATGATTAATTAGAGCCCAGACAAGGCTTATGGTATGATACATGTATCAGGATCTATGGATCATTATCGTTCTGGATATTTGAAGTGTGTATCTTTCACTGTTGCACATATGCATGTGTATGTATATATCCAGTGCATCCTATGGCAGATTGACTAAGAATGTCTGAAACAGACGTGGTATCACTACAAATATATATATATATATATATATATATGCACACAACGTGTTTCTGTGTGTGAAACATTGAATCTAGATTTATATATGTCTTGGTGGTGAGCTTACTGAGTTCTCGAGACTGTATTGCGCTATCTTTTGTGTTATCTGTTGTCGTGATAGCAGGCTGCAAGACTTGACCCTTCTGTGTCCACTTGACACATTCCCAAGTAAGATAAAACAACACGGCAACACACCAGTGGGCCCACTCTGAAGGGATGGTGTGCTGGCGTCAATTAAAAAAAACAACAACCTAACCCTAACACTGGCATGTCCACATACAAAGCTACTCACATCATGTACTGCCTCGTGTGCACATGTGTCAGCACACATTCCCGTATGTCGCTACACAACTGGCATGTTTATCTTACCTTACCAGATTTTTCTGATTACACCATATGCCAGTTAATAATCTATCATGGAGGGCTATGTTGTATTCCTCACTGCAACACTCATCGTTGTTTTTACTGACTAACACGCCATGCCACTTTTCTATGCTAACTAACGTTACTTTCTATTAATGTACACATGTTTGGATAATTATAAGTTGGTACACAAATTTTAAAACATTTTTTAAATAATTGTTTTATTTATTTATTATATTACATACTCACACTGTAGGCCTATAGATCTATTTTATGTATATATATACATATAGGTCATGTAAGATCATAAAATGAATATTTTTTTATGTAACAAAAACTTTTTTTTATTGAAACAAAAAAAATTAAAATAGTTTGTTTTTTTCAATAGCAACTTGAAGAAAGAATGACTCAAGATTCCTCATCAGCATTTGTCACACCAAGTCCCTCCCCAGAGGGCATTCCTCCTCACTCCATGTCATCACCAATAGCTAACAATTACAACCGGGGCATTAAGCGACACAGAAGTGGCAGCGAAGGTGACACCAATGACAGTGATAGTGATAAATGTGCCCCCTCAGGGCAATCAGAGCCCAGTACTCCACTCTTGCCTGTCTCTGTTCATAAGAAGAAGAAGACCAGCTTGAAAAAAGACCATCAAGGCAGCAAGAGTATTAAGGCTGAACCCAGCTCCGCTTTCACCAAAGGTGACTTAAAGAGTGTGAATGAAGAGGACTATGATAAGGGCGACAGCCTCTGTGGTATACCCCCATGTCATACGAACACTTCAGACAAAGCTGGTGACTGTGTTAGGGGCTCTTCTTGCAGAAGCCCCCACCTCTGTGTTAACTTTTGTTGTAACAATAATAACAATGTGGACAGTATCTACAGTCTGCACAAACAGTCATCGCCTGCGTTGCTTTCATCCTCATCCCCCCTGCACAGCTCAGCCCCTCTGTTGTCATCCATCTTCCACATACAGCCCAAAAATGGCATTACCTGTGACATTGTGAACTCTCACGAGCTCTTATGGCCTGGCCACCTCAGCCCGGACTTTAGCAACAAGCTGGAAATTAAGGCAGAGTTTGACCCTTCACCTTACAGCTCACCCTCGCCTGCACTATCTCACTTGTCAGATGATAAGGTAAGTAGTTGTGTTTTTTTTCAATATATATTTTGTTATGTTAATATTTCTAAATGTTTGTCTCTTTTTAATTTGCCAAGCTGAAGTTTTTTAGTACTTAACATTGCCTAGTTTAGAAAGTTTTTCAGTACTTAACACTGCCCAGTTTAGAAAGTTTTTCAGTACTTGTAACATTGCCTAGATTAGAAAGTTTTTCAGTACTTAACATTGCCTAGTTTAGAAAGTTTTTCAGTTCTTAACATTGCCCAGTTTAGCAAGATTTTCAGTGCTTAAGATTGCACGGTTTAGAAAGTTTTTAAGTGCTTAACATTTTAAGTATCATTGACTGAAACAAGACATTTTTCAGTCAATATTAAATAGCTGCCAGGTCATGTAGTATTTGTTCTGGACACAGTGCTCCATTGTTTAATCCCTGCCCACTACTTTCTCATGTTCTCGTTTGTTTTTTGGGTATGTCCTTATGATCTTCTTTTCACTTGGAACATTTGAAAACGTATGCATATTGTTTCACTAATTTTGATGTACAGAGTTTGATTTAGCATAAACTTTTCAACACTCAGATTTGTTTGTATTATATAAAATTTGCTTATTTTGATCTTTTAAAATTTAAAAGATCTATTTATTAAGCTCCTATCAAGAAGGTAGGGAGGTCATATTCAAGTAAAATAGGTGACAATAAAAAAAAATCTTTTTTTGATTCATTATAATTTTTTATTTGAACAAAAATGAATATTTAGAGTACTTTATAAATGTTCTTTAGATATTTTATTAAATTTTGTTTAGCTTTAAAGTAAAGGAATATCTTTACATTCTAAAGCCATTCAATAATTTTTTAAATATATTTCCAGGACCAGTGTGAGCCAGTAGATCTTTCACTTTCAAAATTTAAAGTGAAGTCAGAGAACCTGTTTCAACAGGGACTAGACTTACGCATTATTCCAAAACGTGGTAAGATCATTTATTAATACCACTGCTCCATGCTGGTTAATATGTATGTACAGCTTTATTTGTTTGATGAAATGTCACTGTGGCCATACAATAAAGTGTTACTATTCTCAAACAGAACCTGAAGAAAATCAATCAGACGCAGGGAATAAAATTGGCTCAGCTTCACTTCTGCCATTGCAACGGATTAAAGAGGCATCACAGTAAGTCGATTCATTTGGCTTACTCTTTTTAAAAATTTCATTTTTTTTTGTATACACAATTTTATGTACACACAAAAAAGCCTGTGGAGTCTGGGAGCGCATGAGGCGCCCTGACCGCACTTCCCCTGTGGTGGAGGCTGTCCAAGTTTTGTTGCTCATCATCTTCACTCACTATCAGATCATTGTATTGACCTTGACCTTTTACCCTAAGAGTTCTTATAACAACATAGAATGAAAGTGAAAGAATTAAGAGAAATATTATTTTATCCCTACTTGATGGACTGTAGTCTGTAAAATGGCTGCCTCTCAGAAATTGTTATCAACTCTCCAATCTAGCCGCAGTTACACTCATGTAAGGTTCATCAACTGCAAAGGTTAAGCTTTGAATTTTATCAAGTCAATAGAAAAGCAAACTTTTTTATCAGTCACCATTGACCAATCCCCTTGAAGTCGTAACACTAGCTATTGTGTGTGTTTCTAGCAGTTGTTACCCTTTGAGCCACTGTATTTAGGGTTTAATAAATGACTTGACTTAGTCCTTTTGACTCTCTGTGAAGCATAGGACCACAACAGTATGTCACCATCGAACACTGTTCTGGGCTATTCCCCTAAGTTAGGTCCATGTCCATCTTTTTTTCTTGTAATAATAATAATAATATTTATTGGAACCATTCATTTCAGGCAATTTAAAAGTCAAAGCAATGCCCACAACCAGTTTGACATCCAGTCTAGAGGGATCCGCTACTCCATCACACCCAGGTTCGCTAAACAGGAAGAGGCTTATGATGATGTAGACAGCCAGAAGGCTCGTCGTGTTCACAGGTGTGACTTTGATGGCTGCACCAAAGTCTATACTAAGAGTTCACACCTAAAAGCCCATCGCCGAACACATACTGGTAATATCTCAATAATATTTATTTTATTTTTTTGGTTAGATAAATACTGTCTAAAGTATTCAAGAATAAAGTTTTAAAAAAATCCTTGCTAACGCACAGTTTTACTTAAGTTTTAAATTTAAGGCATAACAAAACAGAACAAATCCAGAAATGCTTTTTTTTTTGTTTTAATATCTTAGGTAACTGATTTTAAAAAACGTATTGCTGGTTTTAGATTTTTTATTTGTAATTTAGGATAAATGACTTACAATATAGTGGTTATGGCTTGCAAGAAAACACAATGTACTAAAACATTTTCTGTATTTTTTTCTTTTTTAACCCCATTCTCGATGATAACCTGGCAATTTCATCAACTCCAGAGATTTAAGGACTCTACTGTATCAAATATTTATGTTTGTCTATGTTTTTATTTTAGTATTCTCGTAAGTATAATTTTCTTTACCTGTTACAGGGGAAAAACCTTACATTTGTACTTGGGAAGGTTGTACCTGGAGGTTTGCTCGGTCAGACGAGCTCACACGCCACTTCCGCAAACACACGGGGGACAAGCCTTTTAAGTGCCATGTTTGTGACAGAGCCTTCTCTCGGTCAGACCATCTATCTCTTCACATGAAAAGACATTGAATCATTAAAACTGTGTTAACCAACAACTTATTTCTTGATGACTAAATGTCCTGAGCCTGTGACATGCGGGCAGCTGCAAAAAAATCACTGAACATGCTGTCTACCTAACTTAATGTACATAGATCCAGTAATCAGATTCAAAGGCATTTAATGTTTGACCATTTTGATGCATTTGTTATGTTCTGAACCCGAGTGTTATTGATACAAAGTTTTCAATATGGAATTGATATTAACTGTTGGCAGGCAACTGAGACTTGTGCTAAATTTGTACATCGTTACACTGTTTATCCATTTAGATTGAACTAACACCTCTTCTTCACTTACCTATATTTCAGTTTAAATATTTCCAACTTACAATTATTTAAGAAGACAGTTTGTAAGTTTAAGATAAAGTAACAATGTGGTAAGATATTCACATATCCATTCAGTATTGTGATTCTTAAATTTTTTTTTATTGAGTTGTTCCTCTTGAAGAAATGGCAAAAATTATTCTCAAACCCTTTATCATATTTTGTTTTGGGGAGGAGATAATCACCTTCTGAATGATATGAAAACTCAAAAAACTAATTTCTTGATCTATGTACAAGAACATTAAAAAGGGGTGGGGGGGAAGGAAACACTTATTTCAAAGTAATTTTTGATGAATAATTTCTTTTTTGTTTTTTACCATTCACTATTTCTAGGCTTGTTTATAATTCAATTTCTTATATTCTACTTTTTTTTTTGTCACTTTATTTGTAAAGATGAAAGACTTAATTAACAATACTGTACAATGAGTTTTCTTGTGTTGTAAAAACTAACTTGGCTATATATATGCCTTCCTGCCCTCCAGTTCTGTTAAAGTGCATCCAATACATGATGAGATTAAAAATGGTTCTTGTGATAATTCCAACTTTTCAAACACCAGACGTACAATGTGGAAAATTACAGTTGGCTTAAAACTTCTGGAAATGACTAGCATGAAGTGATAAGTGATGAAGTATATATTGTTGAAGGCTGTGAGTTTTCCTTTACTTTCTGGGTTGTTTGTTTGTTGTTTTTTATTGGAGTAAAAATAATTCATTATGTTTATTTATAGCCTTTGTTTTGACCTGGGACTTGGTCAAGGAGAACCAGTTGGAGTTTAATAACACACTGTAGTAGAAGATGTATATAATAGACTTTCTCTTATTAAAGAGAATTTGCGATTCAAGAATGGCTCATTATGTTTATAAATCAACTTGTACAAAACTTATTTTAAACTTCATTTACTAGTAATTCATTCTTGGAGATTTACAGAATTAAAAATGTATGCTTATTTTGTTTGGTTACATTTTTTTAGTCCATTTTTTTTCAACAAATAAAATTTTGAGTCATTTCTGCATAGCAAATCAAAACGTTTAGTTTTTTTCATGATTGTTTGTACAGTTGTATAAATATAAATTATGTAATTTAATGTAAATATTTTAGTGCTATTTCTGTTTTTTTTTTTCTTTTACCATCAACATTTTTTATTGTTGACTTTAAAAAAATATTTCCTCTAAAGCAGGAAGTGAATATAACTATCTCCCCTACCCATTTTCATGTAGTATAAATATACAGTCCTTTCCCCTGCATCCCTGGTCTTGTCTTTCGATTTCAATATTTGTGATGCACATACAATGGGTGAGTGTCTATATATATATATCAGGAAATATGCTGTTTTTTTTTTTTTACAATTTTGTTAGAAGTAAAGAAATGTCATTTAGACTGCTGGTACTGTATTGTAATTAAATTGGTATTTTAAAATGCCAATGGCTGTATTGTTGAATATTTATAGCTGTGAATGAATTGAAACAAAAAATGTAAATCAGATATTTGATTTGTGATTTGCTCAGATGAAAATTTTTTTTTTTTTAAATGTGCTTCCTTGGTGACTATTTCTTATTTATGTATCGTGTAACTTTGTCCGATTATTTCCTAAAATTATTTTATTTTTTAATATTTTTTTTAAAAGTAAATGCTATATGTTATATTAGCTGGCAGCATCTTTTAAAAATAGCAATGTCAGCTTTGGAACTGCTAAATGGTCCTTTGTTTCAGTCATAAAAAAAAAATGTATGTATTCATATTGTTTCTTGGGTTGCCAAATCAATTGTCAGTAAAAAAAATTAAAAAAAATAGGCTTAAATTTTTTTTTTTCAAAATTATGTCACTAAGAGAAAAAAAAAAGTATGCCAATCAAAATGAGCAATTACAGACATTACTGTCCAAGTAATATCATTGACATATTGAGACTAACAAGTAACAACTGTCATAAACATGTGTAAAAAAAAGTCTGTTATAAATGTGTAAAGACATGAAAGATTCAGAAAGGTGTATGTTACAAGTTTTTATATATGAAGTTGGTAACCATGACCTTTATGCTTTTAAAAAAAAAAGTTTCTTCAACCTATTTTTTTTTGTAATATAAAAAAGAAACTGCTGAGAAGGAAATAATTCTTTTTTTGCTGCTAATTTGCAGCAGTTAGTGTCTATCTAGTCCCTCAACACAAGTGCTGCTTTTTAAAAGTTGGCAACTGCTTGACCTTTGTCTTTGATGCTTTTCTTTGTTTGTTTTATTATTTTGTTTAAATCTGATTTAATTCTTATTAACTTTGTTTATGTAAATGCTTAAAACAAAAAAGGCATCAATCAAATTGTTTAAGTTTAATTTTTTGATGTTTTTTTTTAGTTGAACAATTACTTGCACTGAATAATGTCAGAGGCTGGAAAAAGTTGGTTATTTTTTTGGAAAATGATGCCCATCTATTTATTTTTTTGTGTGCATTTTTTTTATTGCAAATTCTTTCTTTATTGATTTATTTTAAAGAAAGTACCAATATGAGAAATAGTTAACTATGTACATTTATATTATCAGACCAGTAGTTATTGAGTGAGAATAGACAAGTAGGCTTCTAACATTTTCCAATTATTATCAGTGTTATATTGACCTAGTTGTTGTTGGGTGAAGGTCAAAGTGGTAAGTTTTCTTTGGGTAAAAAGGATATTTTTTGTCTTCCCTGTGATTTCATTGGCTGTTTGAATCCTGTAATGAAAATATTTCATTCATGTTTTTTTTTTTCTTTCCCTTATTGTGATTGAGATCTATTTTATTCATAAAATGTATGATTCATTTTCTTCCCTGTCCCAAAGTCTCTGCATTTGCCATAAGATATTATTTTTGCCAGTGTTTTTCATGGATTTCATGTCTGTCTGTACAGTGCCTGTCTGAATGGAGTAGTATGATTGGTGATGTTTTGGTGTCTGCTTGTTTGCCATTGTTAGTGACCACCTTCATTTGTCTTAATTAAATGTTGAGTATATATGTGTATTGTTTTAATAAGTGTGTGTGTCTTCTGCTAATGAAAGGTTTAGTTAAACATTGGAAATGAAAGAGCTCGTATTTTGAAATACCATATGTAAAGAAACAAGTAAAACAATAAAAATGGATATATACAAAGAGATATTGAGGTGCTTTTGTTGTTGTTGTTGTTTTAAATTATAATTAATTGTAACTTGGAAGTTTTTATAATGAGTGCAAGAGAAAACAAATTAATTTTCAATTGTAACAATGCTTCATTGTAGATCTTGGCACCTTACAATGACATTAGTCTCAAGTTACAGATAGTCCAGAAGTGCAACTGATCTAGAGATGCGATAGATAAGTGGGGTCTTGTTTTTAGCCATATGGAGTAAACTACAGTCCAGAAATGCAGTAGGCCCTACCAATACCAATATAATGAATGTGCAAAAGTACATATATTATAAACTAGTGAGACTTTTATGAAAAGCTAGTGGTACAGTAGTCTACATAACAACAACAATAATAATCTTTATCCTTGTAGATAATTAGTCTTACAAATATGCATTACATATGTAACATTTTTTTTTTACCTTTGCCTATAATAATAATTTAATAATAATAACTTTATTTTTAAAGCGCTGTTAACAAACAAAATGTAGGCTCAAGGCGCTGTAACATTACAAACAAAAACATGAGAGCCAAAATGACAGTTAATCTAAAAAAGTTTTAAACAGGTGTTAATGTTCTTCTTAAAAGTGGTGTAGCATGTTGTCTGTCTGAGATCAATGGGGAGTGAGTTCCAAACCTTTGGTCCGTGAACTGAAAAAGCCCGCAGACCGTAGCTTTTGAGGGAGAAACGTGGCACTATTAAAAGCCAATGGCGCGTGCGCAAGATCGTAGTAGCAGAATCTTGTCTAGTTCTTTTAAGGACTATTCGAGCGGCATTGTTCTGTATACGTTGCAGCTTGGCTATTTTGTCATCAGGTATACCTGCTAGCACGGCGTTGCAGTAGTCAAGGCGGGAGAGTATAAATGCCACAGCTAGCGTTTTTGTTGACTCCGTTGTTAAATATGGTCGGATCTGGCCTAATCTGCGCAGCTACAGATAAAGACCTTTGCAGAGCTGACTTATGTGTGGGTCGAAAGATAGTGTTGAGTCGAAGAAAACTCCAAGATTCCGCACTACATGGACAAAAGGAACATGGCAGTTCATGATAAAGAGAGAATCTGTGCTTTCAACTTTTGAGACATTGTTCCTAGTGCCAATCTTAATTATTTCTGTCTTGTCTTCGTTCATCTTGAGTTTATTTTCAACCATCCAATCGCTCACCCTTGCAACGGTACCACTGATTTTCTCTGCCAGATGCGACACCTCTGAGGGTACTGATGAATCGTATAACTGTGAGTCATCGCAAAAAGTGGTATAAGATGCCGGTTGGCCGTATGACACCGCTGAGTTGATATGTATACATAATGAACAGTACTGGGCCTAGAACTGATCCTTGGGGTACTCCGTACTTCAAAAGTAAGCTTGTTGATTCCGTCCCGCTAACAATGACACTTTGGGTGCGTTCCGTCAGGTAGGATCCAAGCCACTTTAGGACGACTCCTGCTAAACAAAAAGTTGCAGAGAATCTGGCCATCATAATTTCATGGTCTAGCGTATCAAAGACTGCGGACAAGTTCAGCATGGAAAGAATCGACATGTGGCCTTTGTCGGAATTGTGAAGTAAGTCGTTTAGTACCCTGACCACTGCTGTCTCTGTGCTACGGCACTTCCTATATGCAGATTGAAATTCTTCCAAAAGACAGTACTGTTCAAGATGAGAAAGAATTTGCGCAAACACGATGCGCTCCAGAAGCTTTGACAGGAAGGGAAGATTTGATACCGGGCAATAGTTTTTTAGACATTCCGGGTCAAGACTGGATTTCTTTAATAAGGGCCTGACAAGTGCATACTTAAATTGCTGTGGTACAATGCCTGAAGTCAGTGAAGAGTTCACAATGTTAGTAATTGTAGGTATAAGCTCATCTAAACATTCAATGAGCAAGGAAGTTGGGATGGGATCAAGGTCACATGACTTATTTGGCATCTTTAGAAAGAATAGTACTTTTGGCATAATCTTCAGATACACGCTGAAACTCGCAAAAGGAGAATTTTGAAAAATTGGAGAGTGGTCAAACTGTGATGAGAGGGATGGCATGTCATTTCTAATATGCTCAATCTTCCCAATCAAGAATCTATTAAAGAAATCAGGGAGTTCAGATACTGGGATAGATGACGGCAAACGTTCGTTATTTGCTCCCCCTAACATTTCAGTGGTGATCCTAAATCAGAAGTTTCGATTTTTAGTCGAATATGACTAGCTTTTGCGTCTCAATCATCACTAGCGGATCCAGAACTTTGGAGTGGGGGGGGGGGGGAAGCGATTTTTTTCCAAACCCTAACCCTAACGCCAGTAAACCCTAACCCTATGCATAAACGTGCGTACAGCACATATATAAAGTAGTGTTTCTCAACTTTGTGCGAAGAAAAAAAGTCATGCTAAGCCCTTTCTCTTGATAGCGTGGGTGTCTGGGGGAGCGATTTAAGTGGGGTTCGGGGCGAAGCCCCGACGCCAATAGCGTTTTTTTTCTTTTTTGCATTCTTCAATTCCGAAACGCATTCTCTTGACATGTACAGCTCATTATTTATCAGTGGGGATCGGGGCAAAGCCCCGACGCCAAAAACGTTTTCTTGCATTCACGGCAGAAACGCATTCTCCTGACATCTACAGCTCATTTCTCATCATTGGGGTTCGGGGCAAAGCCCCGACGCTAAATGCATTTTCTTGCATTTTTCACGACAGAAACGCATTCTCCTGACATTTCTTCAATGCAGAAATGCATTCTCTTGATATTTACAGCTCATTATCTATCAATGGGGATCGCCAAAAGGGATTTCTTGCATTCTCATTGCAGAAACGCATTCTCCTAACATCTACAGCTCATTATTCATCCTTTTAGAAAATGACCTTTTCAATAATGTTTTACTTTAAAAAAATATTCTAATATGAATTAGATAGGCCCTTAATACATTGAAAATAAAACGATTTGAAGATACCCCACATACTTAGATTAAGACTTTGAAGATCGCCACCGATTTTGTTCAATAGGCATGTTTGTAACTTCCTTTTGTTACAGAACTAGAATTCAAAGCTCTAACAAAACATTTCGATATCGGGAGAAGTTAAGCAGACCAATTAGATTCTACTCTAAATTTGTTTGCATTTTTAGGATTGAAGCATAAATTATGAGCTATAGTCCCAAATTTATTTAACTACAAAAATAGCAGATAGAGTGGAGGTTGGAAAAAGGCAGCTAGGTAAATAATATTTGGGTTCAGAACTCATCTCAATCGTTACTCTTCTACAGAAAAATTTCGTATGAATTCAAAATTTTCCAAAGCAAAGTAAAAAATTTTTTTTTAAAGTTTAAAAAAATTATGATAAAATGTAAAATTACATAAACTCTGTCGCCATATTTGACAATTCTGTTTTAAAACTTTGTTTTCGTCTGGAAAGGGAGGGGCGGTAGACTGAAAACAATTAATCCTCGCTCCTTTTTATATTTTCTGCTAATGATTGCATTTGGCATTAAAGAATAGGGGTGGGGCGACTCGATATAAGAACTTAATTTAAAGCATATATAAATTATATTAATGACAGATTTTTCTTTAAATTTTTTAATTTCTTAACTATTATTCAAAAATAAAAAGCATTGGTTTGTCCGATGGGCGCATGTATCGCGCCTCCCACCTGGTACAACCCCTTTTCATTTTATATTTACTAATGATAAAATTTGAGATTAGAGTAAGTGTGCGACATAATATACAAATGGGTTCACTTATCAATACGTAGCTTATATAGATATTCAACTAATTTTGTTCACAAACTATGATTTCTCCATAAAAATAGGACCGCCACCCCCCACTCAGAGGGCTAGAGTGGGGAGGGCCTTAGATTAGATTAGACTTACTTCACAATTCCGACAAAGGCCACATTGATGCCATCGCCCCCTCCTTACCCTACCAAATAGGGCAACATACTAGAGGGGGGGGGGGCGAAATAATCTAAAAATAGGTTCAAAAAAAATAATTAGTATATATTATTAACATAAGTAATACATTCGTATACTGTCACGATCATCAATAGTGATAGATGTTACAATCAAACTTGATGTCAGATGTCAAGATCTATGAAGATGCTATGATAGATGTCACGTTGAAGATTATCTTGATCTATATCACACCATCAATGATCGTGATTGCCGAGGATCTTGAAATCGTCTTTTAATAAGATGATCGTATAAAAGTAGCTAGATCTAGTTGATAACACGATCATTCAGAATGTTGCCAGTTGATAAGAGGATCATCTAGAAGATGCCAATCGCTAAGTCGATCTAAGTATTTTATTGTATTCAATAAAGAAACTTCTCTTCGTCTAAAACAATTACTTTAATTCAGAACTTGAAAAGGCTATTCACAAATAATTACAATGGTTAAATGTACTTGAATAACATAATTGATCTACACAATAATATAACTGAGTTCTAATACTAAACTCTAGTACATGTTCTCGCTAACACGTTCCATACAAGACTGGTGCAATATAGAACCTTCCCCGGGCTCTAGAGCATAATCACGTGACCAACAACTCTACACTGCAAGGCCAACCAATAATAGCAGCTCAATGTACAACAATTAATATTTCAAAACCAATCAAATTTATTCTGAACATGATCCTGTTGCATGATAGAAAAAATGCCGACAAGCTAAATATAGACTATGGCCAAATATAGATAGAGTGTACGTGACATATACAAATTGTTTGAATTCTATACTAAAATTAGTCCGCCCCCCTTTCGGGGGGGGGGGGGAGACCGAGTGGGGGGGGGGGGGGGCGATCGCCCCTACCGTCCCCCCCCCCCTGGATCCGCCAGCGTTAATCATACGGTTAACCTTGTTTTTTTTCTAGTATGTATATTTGTCGATGTATCGTCAGACCTGTGTTTTGTAATGTACGTTCGGCACGTCGGCGAATAACTTTGGCAGTCTTTATGTCATCCGTCATCCAGGGTGCAGATGGCCTAACTGAGACTGTACGAGTGACAAGAGGTGCAT